GCCCCCATACCAGTCTCCGCCTCAGGAGACTGCCCCTGTCAGCCCCACAGGCACACTGCACATGTGCAGGGCTCTCTGACCTGGTTGTCTGTCTAATGACTATAAGCAGCCGTGACAATTGTGTTCCTGTAGCTCCTCTAATGACAGATTCTTTTCTTTAATATTTTAATTTTTATTTTTCAGTTCCAGTTTGCATTCCGTGTGGTTTTGTGTTGCTTTCAGGTGTACGGCATAGAGGGGGACAGTCACATACTTTACAAAGTGGTCCCCCAGCATGTCCGTGCCCCTGGCACCACAACCAGTGACTGCAATATTATTGGCGAGGTGCCCTGTTAGTCACCGGGATGTAAAGTACAAATTATTTTCTAAAAGTGCTTGGTTAGTATGGTCTTTCAGCAAAGGCTTAAGGAGTGGTGATAGTGGCGGCTGGGAGCTGGGGACACAGAGGGCAGAGACCCCCTTTCTCTCCTCCTCCCGCACACATCTCCTGACCTCCCCCCAATGTCTGCTTTCCTCTCCCACCCTTGCCAGGGACCCTCCCTGCACCTCCTTCCCTGGAAATGACTCCGCACCTCCTCCTGCCCCTCCAGTCCCCACAGGACACCCCAATTCCCAGCAGCCTGGGCGGGAGGCCTCTGGGCACTGGGGCCTCCAGAGGGTCCCCTGCCTCTGTCACTCCCCTCAGCCCTGCTTTTCTTGGTGGCGAGGAGAAAGGTGAGGTGGGGACAGAGGAGAGAAAGAGGAAGGAGAAATGGCTTCTTATTTCACCACCATTTCCTCTGGGGCTTTCACCCATTTCCCCACACCCAGGGGAGGGAGCAGCAGGCAGGCTTGGCCCAGAGAGCCCCCAGCCAGGCCCAGAGGCAGAGGGGCAGGGGCGGGTCCTGCATAGGCCCAGGCCTCCCTCCTCCCTGCCCCCTCCCCCCCTGCAGTCTTTGCCTTCCTCAGCTCTTCTTCCCAGACAGGCTGGGTGGCTGCTGACCATGCCAGCTCTGGCGCCCTCTCCTCAGGGCGGCCGCTGCCACCCAGCACAGACAGAGGGCCATGGCCTGGGAGGCCCCGCACCTGCTGCCCCTTGTCCTGCTGGTGCTCCTGGCCTCAGGTGAGGGCAGAGGTGAGGGGAAGAGGAGGAGGGATGCTAGTGAGGTGGCCTGAGGGGCATGGGGAGGAGGGTAGAGGTGGGAGAGGCAGGAGAGGTGGGGGGTGGGCACTGAATGGAGCAGAGAGGACTTCCTGAGGAGGGGGCCCATCTCAGCTCTGACCTGGGGGTTTATTCTCAGGCTCTTGGGAACAGCAGCCAGAGACGCTTCGGAAACTGGAAGGGGAGGAAGTCTCCGTAAGGTGCTATTATCCAGTCCAGCAAGGTTTGAAGAGGAAAACCTGGTGCAGAGCAACAGCAGCAGGAACTTGTACCTTATTAGTCACCCATCCCAGGCGCGGCCCGGAGCCTGGAAACCCACGATATGTCATCAGGGATTACCCCCTCCTGGGGTACTTCACCGTCACCATGACGGTGCTGGCAGAGACGGACTCGGGCTTGTATTGGTGTGGACTCTATGAATCTCCCGGGATCGACATTCTCAGAACCATCCGTCTGGCGGTCTCTCGGGGTGAGTCCTTCCCTCTGTGTGTGCTTCTCAGGTTCCCTGACCCACAGGAAGCTGATGCTGGAAAGGATCTAATCAGGTCCCCCAGCCCCCATGGCTGAACCCAGGGCCCCTTCCCGAGGTCGCCGCTGGTTACAGGCAGAACCAGCGCCAGAACTCAGACTGCCATCTTAGTTCGGTTCTCCCTTCCCCAGCTCACACACTTTTCCGAACACTTGTTGTTGCTCACAGGGCTCCCCGCTGACTCATACTCATCACCAAGCTGCCTCAGGCTTGAGCAAACCTGGCTTATGGGTCCATTCTGGGCACCCCTACCCTTGACCCCAATCCCAACCTTCTCTCCAAGGGCTGTGCTTGAGGCGGGTCACAGGTCACTGTGAGGGCTCAGGGAATGGGGACAGGCAGGGGACACACATAGTGAGCAGACTTGGGATTCGGGGTGAGGCTGGGAGCTGCAGGGGCCGAGAGCTCAGAGGGCCTGGGTCCCATCCTGCACCCCCGCCCCCCCCCCCCCGGGCCTGGGTCCCACTCTGCACCCGCCTCTGATACATGAGTGATCTTCAGCCTCAGTGTGGGAAGCTTGAGGCTCCTCCTAACCCTGGGCCCCTCCCCCATATGCCTCCTGAAAGCTTCAGAGGTGCACAGCCCCCCTACATTTCCCCGTGATGGTCAAGGGTTAAACAGTACCTTTGAAGACCCCCGCCTGGCTGCCGAGCCTGCCCAGCTGTTCGGTCAGCTGGGGGCCTGGCGCACACACATCAGCTGCTCGATCATTCTCTGCCCAAGCCTGGGCTCATTGCCCACTGCATGTTGGGCACGGGGCTAGGCCCTGGAAGGGGAACAGAAACCCTGAGACATATAAATAAAAGGTTATGATGCAGGGTGGTGTGTGGCATAATGGAGGCATGTTGGATGGAGGCCCAGAGGAGGGAGGGGGCCAGGTTGCTGGTGAGACCACGAGTATGGACTTGCCTGTAGGACTCCCCAGAGGAGGTGACACTACAGGCCAGCGGGGGTGGGGAGACGGTGGGGTCGAGCTGGCTGGCAATGAGGGTAGTTGGGGTCTATTTCTCTTCTGAAGCCCTCACACAAGCCTCTAATGTTACTGCACAAGTCCCACCAACCATCCACGGAGGAGAGGAGCTGAGCATGCTGCCTGCCCTGGCCCTTTCGGAGCTGCAGGTGCTGGCTATTGTTCTGACTTGCAGATTATTCCTGAACAAGGGCCTGGTGTTCTCAGTCCTGTTTGTCCTTCTCCGGAAAGCCAGGGCCTCAGGTGAGTGGGGGCCGAGCCGGGCTTGGGGTGGAAATGAATGAGGGGACCCAGATGGTAGCTGCAGACAAGAGCTCAGAGGTTCCCCAGAGCTTGCCCCCTGA